TTCAGTTCAGTTAGTTTTTGGTATATTTATCGAGTAAACTCGCAGAGAGCTAGTGATTCAAATGGCCAGATGGGACGTTACAAATTGAATAGGGCAGCCAGAAATTTCAAACTTATTGAATAAACATTCTGCAGATGGTGATTATTCCGTTGGGAATGCAAAATCACCTGTGACTACTCCGGACTCTCAAGAGCGTAAAACTGAGTTGCTTGCGCTTTCCTTCTTCGGGTACAAGTTTAGCCCACAGCGATTTTCCTCCAGCCTCTCAGATGTGTCTTCGATCGTCAAGCGCAATCTCACCAGTGTATACAGACGGACAGCTCACCAATTTTAGTCGGAATTTCCCAAGGCTTGTGGGCTGCATCAATCTACTGGTTGTGTGATTGGAGCTGTTAGGCAAAGGTAACATAGTTAGGCTGGCACAGTTTACTTTGAGGTGGGTACGTGGTTTCTCGCAATGTGACAGCGGTGAATCTGACTCAATTTGATTTCGGAGACGTTTTCTTTAATTCTATAACTTGTTGACAAGCATGTTTTTAATCATTCTGGTGAGCTATCATTTTGATCCTGAAATGCGAGGTTTCATGTCTCTGCTTATATTCGTTACCTGCACATGCTATATGATTATTTGAGGTAATAGCTTTGTGTTGAACTGTCAGTAATGGGACAATGTTTTTGAAGCAGCTGTTTAAGTGACAGAGGCTTGTCACTTTTCGGGAATTTGGAAAGACCAAAGTCACGTCCGTTGCTGGCTTAAAATTGCTTGCAAGCAAAGATGTGCGAACACGGATTTGAACAGCGACGACACAATAGCTCTGTTAGAGAATGTAAGAGAATTATTACCGCCGGATGGATTGACATGATTCGCGGGAGGAAGGAGATACCACGTTCTAAAATTCAGAACTAGCAGTGCTCACAAAATGGCAATGGAAAGTAACCGAGAGCCACAATGTGCTCCTCTAAAATTCTGCCGATCTTCATTTGTGTTAGCGGACAATCCGAAGAAGCGAACAAACTAGATATGACGGAGGATCTGAGAAAGCATGCATCTATTATCTTGGGTGGCGCGTACCCAACAAGTGGAAGACGCTACATAGGTTCTCCGTGACATGGTTCCGACCGATGTATGTGTTACATTCACTACAGAAGCACAGCAATTGTAAGCACACATATTTGCGATATGCTGAAAATAGATTAAGTGATAGTCGGTTGAGGATGACGGCCAGAAACATTTTGATGATATTCGCCGCCGCTATGACTTCAATGCATAGCTCCCTTTCAATCTCGGGTGGCGCGTACCCAACAAGTGGAAGACGCTACATAGGTTCTCCGTGACATGGTTCCGACCGATGTATGTGTTACATTCACTACAGAAGCACAGCAATTGTAAGCACACATATTTGCGATATGCTGAAAATAGATTAAGTGATAGTCGGTTGAGGATGACGGCCAGAAACATTTTGATGATATTCGCCGCCGCTATGACTTCAATGCATAGCTCCCTTTTCAATCTCCCTTAATGAAACAATATGTGAGCCTACCATACATACCAGGTACGGATCCTAGTGCGTAAGAATTTGCCCTGTTTGGCCAGCAGACGAAACTGTGTCAGTTATTATCATTATGGTTTTTACAGCTTATAATATCAATAACGGTCATTGCGTCAACTAAAGCTCCGTCGACGATAAACTGAATGCTGCTACCTTCAGGTTCCATCCGCTGAACCTACAATCACCGGGTTTGGAAGATGGCTGCCGATCATTCAATATATGCTCTTTTTGAATGAGCTAATTCTGGAGTGCCTTACTACAGAGCATCTTCGCGGGCTTGAAAATATATTATACGCGCGAACAAAGGAATATAGTAGCGGCGTTTACCGCAGCCCCTTTGGTATTCACTTTTTCGACTACACGCCGCTAAAATGACATGGAGACTTAGAAATTTGGCTTTGTCAGATTATAGGTGTAACTTAGAAAGGTTTAGTAGCAGTCAACCATGTTAGCTTGTCATCCTGCATTTAAAAGCAAATTGCGAATCGCTGCGTTCCCGAAAGACTGTTTCTCTCTTTGTTTCAAGAAAGTTAAATTGCTGGCTATGTCATTTCTATCCGCAGGAGACCAAATAATGCAATGTGATGACAACACCAATACAGGTGGCACTTATGAACAAACCACCGCCTGATGTCTCAGAAAGCGCTATTTATACTGGATGCCGGCGGGGGACAGCTACATCTTTGGCAGCTCTCCAATTGAGTAGGGGCAGCGCAAATACAAAGTCACTCCACGGGCACCGACTGGAAAATCTCTTTTTGGACGTTGCATTATCCAAGTCATGGATTCATGGCAGGTGGCAGGCGGTTATAGAAAGAGAGAGCCAAAATTCCCGGAGTGTCAGCCGAATGAAAATGACGATAGATTCTGGGTAAATGTTTGAATAAATTTCATGATGGGTTCAGATCAAAAGAATTATCCACCCTCTTAAAATGCACGTGTGACGTCGGCTCACCTTATCTTATTTAGTTAAGCAACAGTGAAAGCAAAATCATCTCAATTTTTCACGTGCAGATTCCAGCGACACAGGGAGGGAAATGAAAAACAGCAAGTTTTCAGGCGTTTCTGTAACGGGACCTGCGTTTCACTGTGCACCATAACCCATATCGGGAGGATGCAATAATGACTAGAGGCAAGATACTCGGAAGTATATAGCTGACCTCTTCGCGCAAACAAAACTGTCTTGATTCTTCCTGTTGTTCAATCTGTAAAAGATCGATTAGAACACGAGTTGCAATATCAGAGCAACAAATTGTGAATAAACAACTTCTGGAAAACCGAGTAGATCAACTTCTAACGGTGCACGACGTGAATCAAAAGGCGCATATCTAAACGGCAACAAGCATGGCAAGAACTCAGAGCCCCGAATATGTGAGCATCACCGAGAGATGAAGCTTTTGAAGAGAGCGCATTAAGAGTAGCAAGGATTGATGCGGGAAACAAGAGCATGGCAGAGAGTTGCCTTAATCACACGACCCACGCCATTATTTGGGAAATTCTTCGCGAAGGGCTTTGAATTCGGTTCCAGTTGAGTGCTTGAGTGATTCCGGCAAAACCTCCCCAAATGTCTTTGTGGGTAGTCTGGTCGCAGCATAACGGCCCTGATGAAGCCGGCGTCACCAGCCACTAAGTATGTTGTATTAATCCATATATGTCTACTTCAACGCCAGCGAGAATCCCGGATTTCAAGATACTCCTATTGATAATCTACGAGGTGTTTGTTTGTTCACCGTGCTGGGCAAATTGATTGCGGACGTTTCAACACCCATCGCGGTGACGTCATCAGTGGGTTACTGAGGAGCATATTGATTCGCAACACACAACGAAAAATATTCTTCTGCACACAAACGGCCCGTAAATAAACGAATGTGTCTCTGACGTAAATGACTGTCGGTATGACAAATCGAAATTTTTGCTGCTAGGACCGGGCCACCCTGGTACCACCTCATTCCCATACCCAGTTTTGGCAAATACATCACTCGGCAGGGAAACGATATATGGCACGTGATACGGAGCCAGTAGGTGGAAGAGTATTACAGCAGATTTATAGTCCAGTCGGTAAGCTGGGGCAAAGTAACCAGCCAACCCTTTTGAAAGTACTTTACCCAAGAGAAACCACTAAGAAGTTACTGACGTGGTTACTTTATAGACAACCACGTTGACTAAAACAGAACAAAGCAACCACGACGAGCGTAACCTGAGTCGGTATTACAACACAATTTTCAGGCTAGTGACGTAGTGAAGTACCCTAATCTCCGGACAAAAGAGACGTAGTATTCTTAATTATAAAAAGCATCATTTCTACACTCACCCGACCGTGCCCACTCAAATGTGTCTTCAAAATTATGCAGTTGTTTATGCTCTTTTTTGTTATTTTAACAGTCCTGAAGTAATAAGTCTCACTGGTTGACCTACAGACACGCTAGACATCAATCTAGATCTTTACTTCTATAGTCCCATTTCAATGCTGCGCTAGCTTAACGACCATCCTCAACCGAAAAAATGGTTGGTTGCTCCGGGGAATGGTTCCAAAGACGTGAACTGATGATACAATCAACTTTGGTGGACACGTGTGCTCTTTTATCCTTTTCCTCGATTTATCCATCGTATCTTTGCCAGTGGACGTAGACTATTAGGGGCAATTAGAAATCTGCTTTGAATGCACTGATAAAACACTATGACATACCCCACTAATAACAGTCATCGGACATCTTACATTATCATTTACTTTTGAAGAGCGTTGTGAAAAACATAAGAAAGGTGAATGCAAGCGACGAAAGCGATGAAAGAGTAGCGGGAGAATATGGGAGGCAAGAGAGAAAGGTCTCATTCGAAATCATGCTAGGAACAGTTCCAGTATGATGAGATGAATCCCAGAGTATGTAAAGATTTTGATATGGAAACACGCGTCTGAAGATTAACAACCGAAGAAAGGGCGAAACATGGTGAATGCTCTTCAAGGCGCGGTAGGCGCTAGCACGGTCAAGACTAGCATATTAGGCACAAGGTGTGGGTCTCCGTCTGGTGTGAGATCTACCGGCAAACAGGTACATTCGGCGCCATGTGCCAAACATAAAATTGTCATAATCACGCAGAGAGCCAACAATGGCAAGGAAACACAAGTCGTTGACTGCGATCTTAGGAAGTCCCAGTCCAATAACAGCCTTAGCTGACTGAGGAAAGCAGATCCCTCGATGGGATGATCACCGATTGGTGAATCAAAAAGACGATATTGCAACCGATTGCATGTACGGCTGAGATTATGACGTTAGAATATTCATCAGCACCGTACTTCTGCTTCTTCTTATTCCACAGAGTCACTTCGCGCTCATCCGAGACTCTGCTGATGTATATTACAGTTGCACGGCGATCTCGAACAGCAATAAGGTCAGGTTTGATGAAGGACATCGAAGTAGGTGCTCTCAACTCCAGGAAGACGGTGTATCCCAATCAAAGGAGACGTTTTGCGAGTTCTCTTGCAACCCGATTTTGACAAGCACATCTGGCATCATGTGTGATGCAGCAGGATTGCAAAGTATGCACCGAACCCTTCGGTTCCCACGGCAGGAAATCATCTGACCACAAAGACCATGCTTTTAAATCTATTTCTGAATATGTTACATCGGAGTTGAATACCGCGGATAACTATCAGTGAAAACACTCGTTTTGGAAACATGCTAATTGGAATGCAGACCGGTCAGCTCTTTGGTGAAGCTGCAAAATCAACTATTATAAGCTAAGGAACCAGCGTGAACGTGACCAGGTGAAACAGTACCACCCACTCTGCTGCACAATTAAATGCGAGGAGGAAATCAGCAATTCAATTATCTAATCTAGGGGTTAGACCAGCTGGCATATGATCAACAGCCAGCTAATGAGTGCAACCTACTGGAAAAGGGAGCATTCGCTTGCAATGTTTAGTATTATTAACAAGAAACAAGTGTCAGTGAGCTACAAGAAACCGAAGTAGACATCTCCGTTAGGAGACACACATGGGGTTGCAAAACGTATTCCACTGTCAATTTGCCTCTTCTTGGTGTCCACCGGATGGTGCATTCCACGGTTTTCCACCAAACATGTATTTGACGATGATGACTGAAAGTAATTGGCGAAGTACACTAATTTGCAAACAGATGTGGTTTTGCGAAACACACCCGAAACCAGATGAATCTCTCGTTTGTGCTGTTTCCATGCAACAGAACTGGATGCAACAGTTCCCTTAAAGCAAAATTTGTTTGCGTTTGAGTACACTGTGCTCCGTAAACGCATCAATTGGAACGAGTTGTTGAAAAGTTAGCATTCATGAGCATTCCTCACGAAAATGATCGCATTTCTTTTCTCACCAAGAAATGTTGGGCCACCTGCAACGAATAAGGATTCTGCTGTCTAATTTATTGTGTTATATATATATATACATATACATATATATATATA